ATTAGATAAAAATATCTGATACTAGTATCAGATAAAAAGTAGTAGGAAGGTCATGACAAACTACTGACCCATTTGTATCAGATACAAAAGTATCAGATAAAAGTATCAGATACAAAAAAGTACCCGTATCAGTTGTATCTAGATACAAACATTTTAGTATCAACCCATCCCTAGTAATTACTAGCCTTAGAGTAATATGAACAGAAGAACTTGGCAAAAGCCAAGTCTGATGTAAGAATTTTTCTGGACGTCGTTACAAAAGGATTATTCTTCTTAGTTTCTGTGTTCTTGTTGATTTTCGAAAGGAAACGGTGAGCTTGGACTCCCTCTTTCCTAAAATCTAGCTTTTCCTAAAATTGTCTGTAGGAATTTCTTTTAGACTCAATGATTTCCCTTCTAATAAAGCTCCTGTAGCTTTCAGACGTGGTTTATCACTCTCCTGCCGGCTGATTTGATATACTTCTAGGGCGGCATTTCTATCCTCCTTTAATCTCTGCAGATGAGCTTTCCAGAAAGGAGAATATTTACGCAACCTCTAGGGATAGTTTCTGTGGCACATTTTAGGGGTGTTTCACATATTTTCTCATTAATAACGTCCACATTATCTTGCATTACATGCTCATTTAACTGTAAATCACATATCTTTTAAAACATAATTGGTAATTGGTTGACTGTTGTGGATAATGAAGAGAAGAATAGTTGGGGTGGTCAGTCAAAAAGGAAGGCAAAAATAAATGATAATATTTATTTTTTACATATGTCGACGTTTCGACCTGAAGTTCAGGCCTTCATCAGGGCTAAGAAAATAACCAGATAACAAGGTATGAGAAACATAAGTAGTGATGGTAAAAAAAAAACAAAAATAAAAAAATTAGAAACATAAAATAAATAAATATAAAGTAAAATTAAATTGTTAGAATAATGACTAAGAGAAATATGACTAAAGACTTCTTAGTCATTTACTAGTTCTATTGGTCCTAATTATTATTTTTAATATCTTGTGTCCTAATTCTCCTGGCACATGTTCCACAGAACAGTGAATGTCATTTTTTAGATTTGTGTGAGTCAGAATTGCATTCGGATTGCTAGTATTGCCCCGGTATGGAATAAACGTTGGGCTGTTGTCTTCTGTTCTTATAATTTCTACTGGGTTCGAGTCAATGAAATCCTCAAAAATTCTTCCAACGGCTGATGTTTGGTTATAATCCCATCTAGTGGATGGGGCATTAATATCCCCATATAAAACGTCTAGAGATCCCCACTGAGCTTCAAGCCAGGACAGGTCTGGTCTATTCATTGGGGGGGTTGTACATTACATAAAACCGCCTATGGATTTTACTTTTCCATTCATTTAACTGTACATACATAGATTACTTCAGCACTTACTAGTCAAACGCTCTAAATTTCCAGTTAATTACAAACAACTCATATACATAACTTTAATAAGGCCTATTTGGACTTACGGAGTTGAGCTATGGGGCTCCACTAAACCATCAAATTCCTCTTGTATCCAATCCTTACAATCCAAAATCTTTCGTAAAATCCTCAATGTTTCTTATGTTTCAGATATGGCCCAATCCAGATACCTATCCTTCCATAATAAACTTCAGAATCATCCCAAACCTCTCGTTTCTAGCCTTGCTTCCTCTTCAATTCCTGATAACCCTCCGAGGTGTCTGAAAAGAAGATGGCCCCGTGATCTCCTAATGTAGACATTAGAGTGCTACCATTGGGTAGTTACTCAACAAGTGTTTTTAACGTCATTATATCCACATGTTCAAATTTACTAAATGTATTTCTTTAATACAGTTGTAAATATCATTAAACAATAATAATAAAAAAATCTAACTGTACAGTCTCCAATTTATCATTCTCTTCCATTTTCTTTTTAATTGAAAAGGTTGCCTTGAGAGATGATTTAGCAGCAACAATTACAACATGACTATCAATGAGAAATTGAAGGCCTTTAGATGCTGATGTGCATGTTGTGATGATGTTTGTATTAATTATAATTTAATCCTATTATAATTCTTCCTAGTATTCATTGATTTCATATTTAATGGTGTACAGAGTTTAATGTTCAAGTTCCATATTTTGTCAACGTATTTTTTTTTTTCATATATATTTTTTTAATTATGTAACTGTGTTTTTTACTAAATAAATATATTAAAACTCATCTTTATATCTTATTCTTTCAGTACAATGAGAAATTTGTTGGTATTTTTGATCAATGAATTGATTTAGTAAAGTGGATCTCACAGATCTGTAGCGACCTTCCGAGGCTTAAGTACAGAGAAATATTTATAGGAGTGATAGCAGACCGTGAACTACAAAAGAGTTAATATAAACAATAGTCCAATTTTCGTCAGAAAAGTAGAAACTTAAAGTTTTGTATTTTTTAAGTAAGTGATGTTTTTTGTTTCATAGAAAGCTATAATGAAAAAAAGATTTAATTTAAGTGATTAACAATTGCTAATAAGGAAACTAGACAAAATTTACTTCAACTGAAAGTAGAGTTTTTCATTATTAAAATCATTTTCAGAGGACTTCCTTCTTCTTCTATAGCTCCACAACTCATTGGAGAGTCGGAGCTGCCAGTCTTTTCTGTTTTGTGCTGCTACTTTTCAATTTCTTACACCCAGATGCTTCTGGGCATCTACTTAACACAAACCCCCCAACACATGCAAGGTCTTCCAACTATTCTACGTCCAAATATTTTTTCTTCTAGGAGCAGTTTGGATACTTCATTACTATTCATGCGTGCAATATGCCATGCCCATCTTAAACGTCCAACTTTTACAATGGACAATATCAAGGTCATTGTAGAGATTCGTAAGCTCAGCAATTTTCTTCAATCTCCATACAACGTTGATACATGTAGGCCCCATAATTCTTCTTAAAATCTTTCTTTTGAATCTCAAAAGAGTTGATCCTAGTGCTTTCGTCATCGTCCAGCACTCAGATGAATTGGTGAGGACAGGTCTGATCAGGGTCTTATAGATACGTATCTTGTTGGTCCTAGAAAGAGATATATTTTTTAGCTGCCTTTGTAGCCCATAACAGCATCTATTAGGTGCCATTATCCGTCTCTGAATCGCTGGTTTCATATTATTAGTTGAGTTCAACAGTGTCCCAAGGTAGATAAATTCCTCGAAACATTCGAAGTTAAAGTCCTCAACTTTTACTATCCATCCTAGATATTCTCCTTTTATAGGATTGCAGAGCTTATACTTATTTTTGGACTTGTTCACCTGCAGTCCAAATTTAACGGCTGCTTTTTGCAAATTTAGGAAGATTCCCTCCATACTCTGACTACGTCCCTCCTATTCGGATTCCTGACCTTCTTATGGCACATTCCAATGCAACATTAAACAGCAAGCATGCTAAGCAATCACAATGTCTGAGTCCATTCTGGCTATAGAAAAACTCAGATGTATTTCCGGTCACTCACCGAACACTGAGTAACCTTTGTGGTCATTCTGACAAGCAGACTAGCTTCGGAGGGATGTCAAGGACGATCATTCCGTTATAAAGCTCCTCTCGAATCATGCTGTCATAGGCAGCTCGGAATTTCACAAAATGCGTCTGGAGATTATACTCAGCTGCTCTCTCCATTATTGTTCTCACCGAGAAGATTTGGTCCATCGTAGCTTTGCTGTTTAAAAAGTTTAAGAGAACTTTGGGATGGCTAAACTGAGCTAAGTCCTGTTTTTAAAAAAAAAAATCAAAAATTATTTATGATTTTTCTTCATCATTCTCCAACTATACTACATTTACCTTACTTTGATAAAACTTATTCATTTAATAAGGTTTGAGTCCATATTAATTAAGTTGAGGTTTATTATGAAAAATTTTGAGATTCACCTCAAGTTGTGTCAAGAAATGATGTGATTTACTTAAATTAAATATTTTTTTTTATCGCTTCGTGTTCAACAATAACAAAAAACATGTCTTACTTTAAAGAACACAAAAATTAAATTATTTACTTTTCTGGCAAAAATCTAATAAAAAAAAAAATTTGTAGCTCTTACAATCTGTCCCTTCCCTCTACTCATCGAACACTGTCTGTGCGTATATATATGTGTGTATACATTGAATATTTAATAGTTGACCGTTGCATTATTAAGGAAGGAGATATCCAGGGTGGCGGTCATAAATAGACTAAATAGTGGCAAAACTATTTTATTAAAAGCCAACGTTTCGACCCAACTTTTAATAAAATAGGTTTGCCAATATTTAGTTTATTTATGACCCCGGACCATCTTCTTTATTTATATTTTATTTTCAAATCAGAAAAATTATTCTATTGGTAGAAAAACATTTTTGGGTAGAAAATAAATATCATGAATTTTCAATCCAAAAACGATTCATATGTGCTCTGGTTTGAAAATAAAATCTTCTGGTGTTTCTTGAGCTAGTCTAGGGAAATGAAGTGGTGTAGCAAAGAAGAAAGGCTTCTGAGTTGCAGGAACTGTATAGTGATAGGTGTCTTTCTCTAACCAAGACACCAGCTTGAAACAGAGAAGGTGAAAATGGTAAGGTGGAAATAAAAAAAGTCCTAATGGAGAAAAGCTTAGAGGTAGATTTGAAGAAGGGAGAAATAGCATCCTTTCAGGTTATCAGAAACTAAGAATCTGCGTTACACTTAGGGTAAATTTAAGACTTTAATATTAAAGAGTTTAATGATTGCTGTTAGCATCTGCATCTGTATCTACATGCAATAGATAATGTTTAGTATTTTGAAGAATCGATAAAAAAAAAAAAAGAATTGCATGGTTGATCAGTTTTTGAACAGAAGTGTAACTAGAATACTGGATTTTTCAAATCTACTTAATGATCATGAGGTAAGATCCAAAATCTCAATAGGGGAATACTTGAAGATGCACAATGAGATCATTGGATACCACTGAATGATTATTTATTTATATTAAATGAGTTTTTGTAAAACATATAAATATGAACTGTCAGTTAATTAAATATTATTTTTGAATTGTTATTAGGTAAGGTTCACCTCTAAGTGCTTCCATCCTAATGTGGACCTCCAAGGTAATATCTGCTTGGACATCTTAAAGGAGAAATGGTCTGCCCTCTATGACATATCAACCATCCTTATTTCAATACAATCACTTTTAGGTGGTAAGTATTGATATTATAATATACACAGTTGATCCTGTAACCCAGTCAAATTAACACAATAAAAGGGGTCTTGCTAAACGTCAAGTTATTCAATTTTGGTTTTCAAATTGTTAGGTGTGTGGTGAATGTAAAAATTCAAGTTTTTGTCATTGAAGGACTTGTGGGTTAGAGCGTAGTGCTCCAAAAGCCATTCAGACTTTTTTTGTTTACGCTAAATATCTCCTTTTTAAAATGATATAGCTAAGAAATGATAATATTCAATCTTAAAATAATCTTAACATTTTTTTCTAAACCCTACAGGAAACAAACTATTGACTTTTTAAAATGGGCCAAGTTCTGAAAATTTACAAGAACATAAGTAATTTTTTGTTTTCACCTAATTATCTGTTTTCTTAGGTAACATAGCTTAAACTCTTTTCTATTAAATATTAAATTTTATATAGCTTTTATATAATACTTAATCATTTTTAACAATAATAAGTTAAGCAACAAAGTTTTATATATCAGATCATCCCATAAGTAATTTATATATTTAATGGCATGATTTAAGAAGTAGGATAAACATATGATATCATGAAACATGTTCAATGTAAAATGTATTTTCCATCTTGTTCTATCACAGTTTGCCGTCTTGAAATAAAATTTTGTATACCTTTTCTGAAAAAAATTGTTTGTTTTGAATTAAAGAAAGCCATCACCTCGTATTTTACTTTATCATCTGAATACATGTTTCTGTCTCTTAATGAGTTTTGGAAACTGTGAAAAAGATAATAATCTGAAGATGGTAAGTCAGGAGAATATGGTAGGTGAGGAATGATTTCCCATCCAAAGTCCTTCAATTTTTGCAATGTTAGCTTTGTAACGAATGTAATGAAGTTCTCTCGCTTATGTTCTTGGTGTTTCTCCAGGACTTAACCACTGTTGTGACTGTCGAACATTGAGTTGGAAAACACATGTTTTATCTCCAGTTACTATCCTGTCTAGATAAAATTTTTGATCTGAATGGGAGGGGAGAGAAAAGCAACTGTTAATTTGTGAGGGACTTTCCCAATTTAAGTACCTTTCCTATCAGCTGCAAATGATATTGGATATTGGAATGTGTCGATCTAAGTTTTTCTGCTATTCTGCAACGGCTTCAACAGGATTCTCTTTAACAGGAGTTCATCCTCATTCTCTATTGGTCAACCTGTTAGCCCTGGAGCCAGGGCCCAAAAATCGACCTGATTGCAGGCGAAGGTTTGATTGTAAATTATGAAAGTGTATATTATTCTGAGTAAAAAGAACCTTGTCTGCCGTTTCAGAGCCTCTGCTTTAAAAAATGGCGGCTGATTTGAAGAATATTAGGCCAATAATTTGAGAATCGAGACGGGAAATCCATTGCGAAAAATGTGAGAAAATTTTTTATTTTCTTAACTTGTATATAGCATTTCCAAGTCAATTTCAACCTTTTCCAAGTCAAATTCAACCTTTTCCAAATCAAATTAAACTTTTTCCAAGTCAAATTCAACCTTTTCCATTTCAAATTAAACCTTTTCCATTTCAAATTGAACCTTTATTTATTTATTTAATTATCTTTAATTTTTCGATGTGTGGGTCTGTTATCGTATGAGTAGTTTTTGAAAATAACCTCCTTTTTAAGATTACGTGGCTGAGTTTCGACTTATTTGAGTTTTTCGGATATTTTTCATATGGGGGTGTATTTTTATGTTTCCGGAGCTGTAGATTTTGAAAATGACCTCCATTTTAAGATTACGCCACTGCGTTTCGACTTATTTAAGTTTTTTTTATTTATTCGATGGAAGGGTGTACTTTTATGTTTCCCGATCAGTAAATTTTGAAAATGACATCCATTTTATGTTTACGCCACTGTGTTTTGATTTATTTAAGTTTTTAGAATTTATCCAATATAAAGGTCTACTTTTATGTTTCTGGAGGCGTAGATTTTGAAAACGACCTCCATTTAAAGATTAGGCCACCGCGTTTCGACTTATTTGAGTTTTTCGGATATTTTTCATATGAGGGTGTATTTTTATGTTTCCAGAGCTGTAGATTTTGAAAATAACCTCCATTTTAAGATTAGGCCACCGCGTTTCGACTTATTTGAGTTTTTTCGGATATTTTTCATATGAGGGTGTATTTTTATGTTTCCGGAGCTGTAAATTTGGAAAATGACCTCCATTTTAAGATTAGGCCACCGCGTTTCGACTTATTTGAGTTTTTCGGATATTTTTCATATGGGGGTGTATTTTTATGTTTCCGGAGCTGTAGATTTTGAAAATGACCTCCATTTTAAGATTACGCCACTGCGTTTCGACTTATTTAAGTTTTTTTGATTTATTCGATGTAAGGGTGTATTTTTATGTTTCCGGAGCTGTAGATATTGAAAATGACCTCCATTTTAAGATTACGCCACTGCGTTTCGACTTATTTAAGTTTTTTTGATTTATTCGATGTAAGGGTCTACTTTTATGTTTCTGGAGCCGTAGATTTTGAAAATGACCTCCATTTCATCATTACGCCATTGCATTTTGACTTATTTAAGTTTTTCTAATTTATCCAATTTAAAAGTCTACTTATATGTTTTCGGAACCGTAGATTCTGAAAATGACCTCTATTTTATGATTACGCCACTGCGTTTCAACTTATTTAAGTTTTTAGAATTTAACAAGTATAAAGGTCTAATTTTATGTTTCTGGAGCAGTAGATTTCCCCCATTTTGTAAATGACCCAATTTCAAGTTTATGCCACTGTGTTTTGGATTATAAAAGTTTTTTTTTTACTTTTTCGGTATAAGGATCTACTTATATGTTATCCGAGACGTATTGAAATTTTTCTAATCTTTAATATTTAAATTTATCTAATATTTAAGCTCCATTTTATGATTAAGCCGCTGCATCTCGAATAATTAGGCTTCATTTTGGATTTTTTCAATACAAAGTTTCATCAATATGTTTTCGAGTATGAATAAATAAATAAATATTATGAAGCTAAAGTTAAATTAACCACAGAATACAAACTAAAAAGCCGAAAAGCAGCTGGTAATAAATTTAACCTTCCGTATTCAGATTTTTCAGCTAATTGTTCGAAATCTTATAATTTTGTGACAGGAGACCACAACATTAAAAAAGATAACTAAAATTAAATTAAAAATGAGACAATACATATTTTATTTATTTTGATTAGATATTTTTATTTATTTATTGAAAAATAAATTAATCCTTCGTATTTTGTTTTTTATTCGAAGGAAAAATCAAAAACACTTATAAAAACGAAACACAGTGGCCTAATCTTAAAATGTAAGTCGTTTTAAAAACTAAGGCTCCGGCATCATAAAAGTAGACCTTTAAATTGGATAAATTCGAAAAACTTGAATAAGCCGAAACGCAGTGGCGTAATCTTAAAATGGAGGTCATTTTCAAAATCTACGACTCCGGAAACATAAGAATACACTCTTTTATGATAAAAATTCGAAACACTTAAAGAAATCGAAATGCGGTGGCCTAATCTTAAAATGGAGGTCGTTTTCAAAATCTACGGCTCCGGAAACATAAGAATACATCCTCATATGAAAAAAATCCGAAAAACTCAAAGAAATCGAAACGCGGTGGCCTAATCTTAAAATGGAGGTCGTTTTCAAAATCTACGGCTCCGGAAACATAAGAATACACCCTCATATGAAAAAAATCCGAAAAACTCAAATAAGTCGAAACGCGGTGGCCTAATCTTAAAATGGAGGTCGTTTTCAAAATCTACGGCTCCAGAAACATAAAAGTAGACCTTTATATTGGATAAATTCTAAAAACTTAAATAAGTCAAAACACAGTGGCGTAAACATAAAATGGATGTCATTTTCAAAATTTACTGATCGGGAAACATAAAAATACACCCTTATATCGAATAAGTCAAAAAAACTTAAATGATTCGAAACGCAGTCACTTAATCTTAAAATGGAGGTTATTTTCAAAACTAGGTACAGGACAGCATAATACTAGTCCCTAATAAATCCGAATAGGTACAATAAATCGATATCCGTAAGTGAAAATTCTACTTAGGAGAGCATAATAATAGACTTTCATATTGGAGGGGGGGAGGGGATGGCCATTATTTTAAAAAAATATATAAAATTTACAAAAAATTAAAACATTAATTTGAAATGAAAACGGTTGAATTTGAATTGGAAAAGGTTTAATTTGAAATGGAAATGGTTGAATTTGACTTGGAAAAAGTTTAATTTGATCTGGAAAAGGTTGAATTTGACTTGGAAATGACATAGAAATATCACACTGAAAAAATCTAAAATGTTAAAATAAATGGATATGCAACCGCGTTATCAAATTTTTTTTTGTATTTTTCAAAAGCTATGCCTTCGATAATATAGTAAGTGGCCTTCATTTCGAAAAAAATCGAAAATTGACAAAAATTCGAAAGTTGAATTTGAAATGGAAAAGGTTGAATTTGACTTGGAAAAGGTTGAATTTGAAATGGAAAAGGTTTAATTTGACTTGGAAAAGGTTGAATTTGATTTGGAAAAGGTTGAAATTGACTTGGAAATGCTATATATGGATTTAGACATGTAAAAAACAAAATTGCTAACGTGGGCCACCAAGGGAAAACTTTTTACAGCCAAAAAAGTCAGATTTTTTCGATATTTTTTTGTTTTTTCCCCTATAACTCCTAAATGATGCACCAAAGCGAAAAATGTATTCTTTAATAAATTAAAGAACGTTAAATTTTGCGTCAAATTAGTACATAAACTTTATAATTTGATTATGCGGTAAGGTATAAAACCACGATCACCAACGCTCATTTTTACCACATCTCTCAAAAACTGAGACAAATTACTATAAATGGCCCTTGAACTTTGAAATGACTTCCTCAAGACAAAAAACTCATAGAATTTAAGTTGTAGAGCATCAAATTTGTCCTCCACTCAGTACAAACTAATTTAATTTAGTCCACTTGCTTGGAACAAAATCGTTAATCTCCAGATGGTTAGAAATTGGAAATGAAGGTAAAAGTGATTTTCTATTTTTCAATGGTATAGGTGTCTATTTAACTGAGTTATTTTTGTTAAGAGTCTGTTACATGCAGTATAAGTCCCTTTTCCACCTCTCAACAGCATAGGATTATGGTAAACAATATGTCAAAAAATACCGAATCCCGATTCGAGATAGATAATTGGCCTACAATACAAATATCAATACTCAGTAGACGCGAAATTTTATGCTCTACAACTTTGATTCTATAGGTTTTTCCTCTAAGGGAACTCATTTCCAAGTTACAGGGCCATTTGTAGTAATTTGTCATTTTTTGACAAATTTGGTAAAAATAAGTGTTGGTTGATCGTGGTTTTATACCTTACCGCGTAACCAAATTATAAAGTTTATGTACTCATTTGACGCAAAATTTAACATTCTTTAATTTATTAAAGAATACATTTTTCGCTTTGATGCATCGTTTAGGAGTTATAGGGGACAAACAAAAAAATATCGAAAAAATCTGACTTGGCTGTAAAAAGTTTTCCCTTGGTGGCCCATGTTAGAAATTTTGTTTTTTACATGTTTAAACCCATATATACAAGTTAAAAAAATAAAAACTTTTCTCACATTTTTCGCAATGGATTTCCCATTTCGATCCTCAAATTATTGGCCTAATATTCTTTAAATCAGCCGCCATTTTTTAAAGCAGAGACTCTGGAACGGCAAGGTTCTGTTTACTCAGAATGACATACACTTTCGTAATTTACAATCAAACCTTCGCCTGCGATCAGACGATTTTTGGGCCCTGGCTCCCAGGGCTATGTCCAAGCCTCATCTTCAACTTTGTGATTTTCTGTTTGAATCTTTTCAAACCATCATGTATTGATGTCATGTTTAGGATCAATTGGTGGAATTAGGGATGAAAGTAAACGTATATAGCACTTCATAAAGCTGTTGTTTAAAACCTTTGAAAATTTAGCAGTTTTGGGGATATATAAAAGTGATCCTGTAGAGGTCAAAAATTTGGGTTTTGCATCTCAGTCATATCTTTTACTAGAGGAAAAAACAAAACCTTCTGCCACCACTTGATGCTACATAGATCCAAAGTCATGCATTTTATATTTCTTCTACAATTAGGCATTTTTCACCACAAAGAATGAGGATGGGATGACTGAGCACATTGGGGTATGGATCCCAGAGTATCCGGTTCTGAACGTTGTAGGATCGATTCCCACCTGAGTTGGTTAATTTTCATTTCTCGAGCTTTTCAAAGAGCTAAAGAAGTCCACTTTTATCCATAATCCCACAAATTACTCCTATACATGATATCAATTAATAAAAACCACCAAATCTCACAATCTCATTGTTTAGATCAGACACATGAGCACTGTGCATTCATTATGTCACTTTCACAAATAATGGTTGTGTTTTTCCAAAGTTATGACACATCCTCCATAACTTTCATATGTTTTAATCCCTGAATTACATCCATGCAGAGTTAAAACCCTTCAAGCTCTGAAAAGTGCTATATCCACAAGGCGCTGTGGATTCAGATTCCACCTCTTTTACTATTATTGGTGAGAATAATGATATAGTAGTTCTATTGATCATCGAAACACTAGGTGGCCAGAATGTAATTTTCCTAAAGCCTAGTCATAAAAATATAAAACATCCTTTAAGTTCTACTATGCAGCTACAGATCTCGCTGTGAGACATCTCTTCAATATGTGTGATACCTAATCAGCTGTCTTCCAAAAGAAACAGCTGATAATTATCAAACTGTATATAAATGAAATCTTGATCGAGTTTTCTCAACCTCTTCCTCAACCATGCATGATGTGGAAGAAGGTGGAAAAAAGTTTATTTTGTTATAGTGCAATAACACATAGAATGTTAGTTGTGTTAAGTCAAAGTCGTCAGTCTACCATCTTTGGACGCCATTTTGGGGCAGTGTGTTCACTTTTTTTCGTGGGAACATTGACGTTTTTTTAATAAATAGTTGCAATGAACATAAAAATATGCAATTTATAGGGATGTGGGGGGAGGGTGCACGGTAGGGGGTTCCGGCCCACAGACTATATGATCAGACTTTTTATCAGTGTGCTACTTGATAATTTTGTTGTGTAATAATTGGATTTTTGAAATTCAGATAACTTCTATATAAACCAAATTTTTGTCTGTTAGATTTACAGACTTAGTCGATTGTATAATTCAAATATATTTAGATATTTGAAGCAAGCTTTCTTTTTACAATATACTAATCAGCGTAATGACTATTCATTCAAGAGAATCTAGTTAAGCTCACCTATTACTTCAAAAATCATGCCTATTAGTCAGTCGCAAGAACATAACTTTGTTGCGAAATTTAGCCATTGCTTTTATTTATTTAAGTTATTTATTAATATTCTCATGTAACAAAAATAATACTTAGGTTTTCTTAACTGATAGTAACTTTTAAATAAAAGGTATTTTTATGGTAAATAAATACGGAAAGTTTATTCAAAAACTATCATCCACTAGAATGAATCTTAAGTCTATCAGTATAGTCAAACAAGGACAGATAGTTACTAACAGAAGAATGTTTTGTTATAGTCATAATTTTGGTCAATTCAGCTTTTTGAGTAGCTAAACATGAATCTATAAATATTTTGTCCAGAACGTTGTAGTTTTTCTTTTTGAAAAAAAATTAACATTTTGAAACTTTTTTATAAAACATTGGGAAATCAGAGAATCTTCAAGTTTTTCATTCCAATGAAATCAAGTTCATTAGAAAATGAGCATATTTTTGCTAACTTTTTCACATTAACTTATATTAATATACATTTTAATTTAATTTTCCTGTACTAATCTATTAATGTCTTAGAACCCAACAATGATTCTCCTCTGAACAGCCAAGCTGCTGAGATGTGGTCGAACCAAGAAGTCTTCAGGAAGTATTTACGAGCGAACCATTCTAATGAAAATTCTAAGAATTAGCCTATCTAACCTTTTATCTTTTTTTAAGGTGTTTTTATATTTATAGAATATGAATATACTTTATATTTATAGTATATGATTTTATATTATATGTGTGTGTATATATATATATATATATATATATATATATATATATATATATATATATATACACATATATACATATATATATAATATATTACCACTGGATTGTTTTACAAAGAAGTTTATTTGCTGCAAAAAAAAAAAAATAATGTATGCTAATTTTACCTCTGTTACATCATTTCAGATAATCATAATTATATATTAATACATTAAGGCCTAGTTTCAATTTACTTAATTGTTCAGTTATATTTATGTGTATATATATATATTTTTTATTCTATTTTTTGTTCAATTTGACTACTATTATTTTGAAATTCACAGACTTACGTTTTGAATAATTGTTTTTCATCATTAATACATTTGTATAATGTTTCAGGCATATACATTTATTTAGTTTAACAGCTGTGTATTTCAAAATAAATCAGTTATGGTTTGTGTTGCCATCATAAAACTTGTTTAATAAATTTAAGTTGAAAAGCTGTGTACTGTTAAATTAATCAGTTGTGGTTTGTGTTATAGTTTTAAAACTATGGTTTCATTAATTAAAGTGCTGAATGAGTTGTTTTTCATCAGCAATACATTTTTGTTTAAATATAAATAATGTTTCATGTATAAATTGAAGAGCTCTGTATTTTTAAAATAAAACAGTTATGGTTTGTGTTTTCATTTTAAATTTATAGTTTCATTTTTTTTTTTTTATCATTTTAAATATTCTTGTATAAATGATTATTTTTTTTATTAGAAGTGGTATTAATATCAATTTCAATCTTCGAAAGTAAAATTATTTTATTTTTTTCCACGATTGCTACTTTTTAGTGTCTTGATAATATGTTGTAATAATGTAATAGACCATTAAATAACTTAACTCTCAGCTTTACAATCAGATTAAGTAATATTCTCCAGTCTAATCCATTACGTCATCTTTATTTTTCATTTATTTTAGTAATAACAAACATCTCTTTTAAAATGTTTTCTTGTATCAGCTAACTTCCATCGAAACAGATAAATGAGTCAACCATATGTTTTAATTGGTTAACATGGAGCAACTTACCTACTAATACAGTGGGGATGACAGTTGTAAGGGTATCCTATACTTTTTTATTTTATTTTAATAATATTTACTACTGTTAACATATATACAACTAGTAAATCTGCTATAGAAATATAAAACATGAAAATACTTGTGAAGAAGCTACCCTTTTGTAACACTTCAAAGATAAATTAATTTAGAAGGTCAATTGGCCATCTTCTTTTCAGGCTCCTCGAAGGGTTGTCAGGAATTGTATTGGATGAAAGTTTACGAACTAGAGGATTGGGGTGACCAAAGAGTTTGGAATTAAGAGGTATATCTAGTTTGGGCCAAGTCTTCCACTAGAGGAATGTTGAGGTCTTTATGGATAATTTTATTTGTCACATAACAAGGAGCATTTAGGATTTTATGGAGGACTTTGGATTGTAAGGATTGGATGCAGGAAGAATTATGTCCAAATGGCCCTGATGATGGTAGTGTAAATGAGTTTTTGTAGAATATTGGAAGTTAAGAGCGTTTGTCAAGTAAGTGTTGTAGAAGTCGGAATCTCAAGGAGTACTAGATAACAGATCTGTTTGACAGGGATCAGTGGAATATTGTTAAAGGATGCGGTAGGACAGGATGTTGTAGGTTTATGGCGAAGGGTAAAAATAATTTGTTTGGATTAATTTTAATTCTCCAATTTGCACACCATTCTTCAATGGCTGAAATGTGTGACTGCAGGGTTTGTGATGCATAATAGTTGGTTCATTATTGGCAGATAACACACATGTGTCATCAACATAGGTAGTAAGGATGGTTGAAGGATAGGTTGGGATATCAGCTGTATATACTGTGTAAAGGATGGGTCCTAAGATGCTCCCTTGAGGAACACCAGCGAACTGGGAAAAGTGAGATGAATAAGCAGAGTTACAATTTACTTTGAAGGTTCTATCTGTGAGGTAAGAGTGGGTTAATAGGAAATATGTAGGAGGCAGGAATTCACTGAGTTTGTACAGTAAACCTGCATGCCAGACTCGATCAAAAGCCTGTTCCATATCGAGAAAAGCTGACGTGCTGTACATTCCGCGCTCCAGTGTAGAGGAAATGACATCCACCACACGATGGCACTGCTGAATAGTGGAATGAGAGGTTCGAAATCCAAACTGATGGTCTGGAATGAAGTGATTTGAGTCTAGGATTGGGTAAAGGCGTTTTAATATAAGATTTTCTAGTATTTTGCCCATGATGGGAAGTATGGAGATAGGACGATAAGAGGATGGGTATTCAGGTAGATTTTTGGGTTTTAGAATCATTTTTATTATGGAGAATTTCCAATGATCAGGAAAATAGGTGATTCTAAGTACGGCGTTATATATATAGATATAAAATAACTTTATTCTGGAACACAGTCCTGTGAGAATAACAAAGTAGATCAAAATTAAAAGGTTACATCTGGCCTAAATAAAAGCAAAAGAAACAATGTAAAGAAAATATAAGGTAAACATTCTGTATACAAAACAATTAACACTATGACAAGACACTTAAACTATTTGCACTGATAGACCAGTATACACTTTTAAGAAAATAGTAAAGAAAAATATATTAAATTCTTCATTAAAATAAGCTTTGTATTTCTTATTTTTTTCGTATTAAATATTGATCAATGTATAAATACATCATCATCATTTCTTAACGTAACAATAGGCAAGAACTTAATGGTTTATAAAAGATAATAGTTATAAACTACCAATAGATGCGTTCAGTGACATCTTTTTTTTTTTATTTGTTTATTTAGAAATATTACATTCTGTCACATCAAGGACATTTATAATAGTGTTCAGAGAAAGCACACTCACTCTATTTACAATAAAAAAAAAAAAATAAAATAATACAGAAACTTAATAATAATAAATACAATAAATAAAATAAAAATAAATACAATAAAATAAAATAAATGTATATAAACAAAAGAACTAACCTAATCATACACACTCGGGCTTGAGTGGAGGATCTGGCCATTGCCAAAACTCCAATAGATGCTTATTTACAAAAGGTCTCTGGGCCACTGCCGCTTCAACCTTCGAGGAGGATTGTAAGGATGGGTGGTGCTGGATAGAGATTGTGCAAGGGGATTTGGATGATAGGTAAGGTTCTGGTGAAATTTGGAGAATTTTTCTGGAATAAGGTCTAGGACAAATGGGATATTAAGGTCATGGTGTAGGATTTTGTTATTTACATAGAACGGAGCATCAACTATTGTTCGAAGGACTTTAGATTGAAAGGATTGAATACGTTTGATGTTAGAAGCTTTTGCTGTACCCCACAGTTCAAGTCCGTATGTCCATATAGGTTTCAGTATTGTCTTGTAGATAAGTAATTTGTTTTCAATAGAAAGTTTGGATTTTCTGTTTAGTAGTCTGTATAGCTGGCCGTATCGTCGGTTGAGTTCTTGTCTTTTGAGTCTAGTATGTGGGTTCCACGTCAGTCTTCGGTCTAAATGAAAGCCAAGATACCGGACTGTGTCTGAGTAAGGAAGCTGGATGGAATTAAAGTGTACTGGTGGACAGGAACTGCGTCGGAGTGTAAAGGTAATGTGTTGGCATTTAGATTCATTAACTTTAATGCTCCAGTTATTACACCAGTGCTCAATCAAGGTGAGGTGGTTTTGGAGATTTAAGGATGCTATGTTGGGATCTGAGTCGGATGATAGAATAGCGGTGTCATCAGCAAAAGTCAGTGACATCTAGAGTAGGAAAATTTTTACCCTATAAGAAAATTAATATCTAGCAAAGAATAGCATTGATATTTGACAATGAATTGCATGAAATAAATGTATGTTGTCAAATAGTTACCAACTATCTGACTGTTTTTGGGATAGGAATTGGAATAGGAGGGTTTTGAATGTGGATATGGATGGGGAATGTCGAATTTTGATAGGGAGGGAATTCTAGAAATTGATAGAGCGTGCAATAAAGGAGTTTTGGAATGAGGCAGATCTGTGAAAAGGCATGTAAAGGTTAGAAGGTCAAGATCTTGTGGAAAGGTAATGGACTGTGGATTTGAACTGGAGAAGGTTGTAGGCATAAGAAGGACGATGATTGTTGATGATTTGGTAGAGGAATATTGTCTTCGGAAGGAGGAGAAAAGCTACTCAGCATAGTGGTGATAGATATGGGAGTATCTTGGGGCCCTTATCACAAATCTTACGCAGCTGTTCATTAGTCTTTTCAGTCTATCGTGGTGCTCCACAGTGAGGCCATCATACACCACAGAGAAAGAGGAAACTAGAAGTCTACACATTTGTTGAAGTAGGAGATGGTGGAAGCGATGGAATAGTTTGAGGGTGAAAATTGTCCATCGAGAAATATGATGATTCCAGAAGAGGTTTTGATCAATGAAAAATTCTACATTTTTAACACAGGAGTAGAAGATTGGCTGGTCATTAGAGTGTAGTATGGGATCTAAGAAGGGGCTTGGAAGCAATGACAATGGCCTGAGTTTATAGGTGAGGACAGCTTTTCGAGGGAGTTGCTTTAGGATTCGGGAGGTGATGAGATCGTGACCAGGAGCTTTTTTGGACGTTAATTTCTGAATTACGTTAATTATTTCAGAAGGATGGAATGCTTCAGGAGGAAGCGACATTTGGAAAGGGATAGTAAGTTCTGTTTCAAGATAGACAGGATTGAGGATATCAGGATGAGGGTTTAAATTTTATTGCTTAGAACAAATCTTTCTTGCTGATAAAATGGTCTTCACCATAATAAACCTGCTTAATATCATCCAAACTGATCACGCAGTTTGACCATCTTGAAATATTTTGTTCATCTGTCTACTATATGTTTGTTTAGCCATATAATGGATACTGATCCTTGTTTTCTTTTCTGAGATTTTGGTACTTCCTTCCTCGTTCGCTTAATGTATTTTTCCAATTTTCGGGTTCAATTTCGCTTTTAATCTCATTTTGAGACCAATATTAATAATCAGCTCTGGTTACCTAGAAGAAATTATTG